GAGTGGGTGACAGCTGCTTTCTCAACCTTTTCCAGTGCGAGGACCTCTTTGAACATTGGAAATTAATAAGCGCATTCCCTCACAACAAGTTGCACCTTTAGTATCCTTTGAGAAAATATATAAGTGACATATCTTTGCAATTCTGCCTTTACCCTGTGACAAGGTCTGTAGTCCATAGATTTGGAACCTTCTTTAGCTATTTAGAGAATTCAGTGGTGGTTTTCCATGCAAACTTGATGATCTTATTTACTTATTTTATGGTCCTCAGTGATCTCTATATATCTGTGTCAGTATCTATATATACTATAATGAGCATCGAGTACATACTACTGGGTTAATATAACTTTTGTTCTATGACACACTTCACATATGATCTTTGTATGTCCCATATTCATAAGCGTGCATTAGTAGATGTATATTTTTAATCACATAATAAGCACCTGAGAACCTATGACTCTACTCAAAAGCTAGAAACTTTCCAATAACTGACATTTAGCAAAACGGTCCTTTTCCAACCTGTTCCCATGCTTCCCCTCACCCAACCACCTTGCTGAATCCCATGTTCATTATTTCCTTGATTTCCATTTTATATACAGTTTTGTCTTCCCTATGCTCAGATTGGCTAACATAGCAATCACTCTAATATATGGAGCACTCACTGTGTGCCAGACACCACACTAAGTACTTTATACCCCTAATATTGCCTAGGTCCCACCACAACTATAAGTATCCTTTGTGCTCATTTTCAGATGGGAAAGCTCGTCCCAGGTCACCTTGCTAGAATCGATGAAGTGGGATTGGATCCAAGCCTGTGTGATGGCAGAGCCCTTGCTGCCAGCCCTTACACCATCCCACTTTCTGAGCCTCGGGTTTCTGAGGGCAGCCTGCAGTGGGCACCCTGTGCCAGCAACATGGGGATCAGACAGCTTCTGGGAGCAGACTCTAGGAGGTCACAACACACCCAGGGTTTTGTTCACAAGGAGCAAAGGCCTGTGCTGCAAGTGGGGGGAACCTGCTCTGCCTCGGAAAACTCAGTGCACTCTCACTCTCCTGGTGCCATGGGGAACTCCCCATATAAGGCAGCTGGAAGCCAGGGCAGGACACAGATGCTGAAGCTGCAGCAGAAACAAACCTGGAAGGAGCTCGGCTCTGAGCCCCCTCTGTGACTCTGTGGCATCCTGGCTTCTTACACTACTTGTGACTGCCGTCATTTGACATGTGTGTGCCATTTGCTTCTTGCGTGTGTCCTCTGCTAGACTGAAGGCTCACTGGTTTTTCTCACCATTATATCCCCACCAGTTGGCCAGGCACATGTGACTGTTCATAGAAAAAAATGGAAGAGGTATTTATGGTCTCGTAGGTGGAGGCAGATGTGTGATAAATTTCAGCTAGAAATGAAGGTTGCTGTTCCTGGGGAGGATATGAAATGCTGTGGAAATCCAACAGAGGGAGACTCCAGACATCTGAGAAGCTCCCGAAGGAAGGTGGTATTGGAGTGGGAGATTGAAGGGTGAATAGGAGTTTTCCAGGTGTTGTAGGTAAGGGCATGGAACACAGCACCTGGCATGGAATAAAGGACTCAGCTATGATTTCATTTCCTTGGAAATGACACTCTGGCCTCTCTCAGCAACCCAGAGTCAGCAGGTCTTCCCAGTCATTTGCTCATTTGTTCAGTGGTCATTCAGTGGTTCCTAACAGTGAGCAAAGCACATTGTTCCTGTCTCATGTGACCCCAGTGCACTGAGGGAGCAGACACCTTTCAACAATCTCCTAAGTGGATGCAGAACTACCACTCTTCTTAGTCTATGGAGGAGGCAGGTCTGAGAGTTCACAGTAGGAAATCTGACCTAACCAGGGTGTTGAGAAGTTTCTGGAAGAAGTAACACTTCAGGTGGGATCTGAAGGAGGAGTTAACTTCACTGTGCGGGGGTTAGGGAGGTGTTTCAGTCATGCATGAAAAGGCCCCATGGAGGACTGAAGATGGTATACCAGAGGCACTAGAACAGGACCCTAAAGGAGCAGGAAACACCCAACCACACTGCTCTGTCTTCTTCACTTCCCTCTCCTTACCTGGCACCCAGAGTTGTCCCAAGTTCCTTGGATCTCATCCCAAAACACACAATGGGAAAGGAAGGTGGTGATGCCAACCGTGAGGTCTGTGCCAGGGGTCAGCTCCAGGTCAGACTCGGGGATCACTGTTAGATAGTAGACACCTTCTCCAAAATGCAAGTCCTCTGGGCTCAGGATCCATGTGGACAGCCCATCTGCAGGAAAGGGGGCTCAGGGTCAGCCTGAAGCCTTGTGGAGATTTGGCTAAACATCATGGAAGAGGGGGTGACTCGGCAGGGAAGCTGACCCTGATGGTCTCCTCGATGTCCTAGGAGTACCCTCTCCTCCTGAGACCAGGAGCATGGAAGAGGCACTCCCAGGTCAGTGTGCAGAGCATGACTGCCAAGTCAGGCAGATGAGGGCTCAAATTCTGACTCTGTCCCTTCTTGGATGTGTGACTTTGGACAGTTACTTAACCTCTCTGTTCTTATCTGGCAAGTGGAAATTCCAATAGTCCCCATCCCTGAGGGTTGTTGTGAGAATTACAATAAGGTCAATTCTATCAGTGTTCGTCAGCTCTTTCAGGGCATATAGTAAGTACTCACCTAATATTTCTAAACAACAACAATAATAATACCAAAAATATATATATAAGCACTTAATGTAGCGAATGTTTTGTTCTTTTTTCCCAGTGGCTTCTGATTCTCAAGTTTGATCTGGCCACACTCCCAGGAAGCAGCTTGAGAAACTGGCCTGATGGTATGACTACCTGGAGGAGCCATTGGTGGAAGGTGAGCTTTGGCATCGTAGCTGGTCTTGTTGGGGTGGTAGCCATAGCCCAGGCTGAGTGTGAGTGGGATGTCAGGTCTCCAGTGCAGATGGATCCCCAAAGCCGCGCCCCCTGAAGTCAGGTTCACCCACAGAACTTCAGGACTAGTCAGATTCAACACAGTTGGCTCGCTGTGTCCTTCTGAAAGCCGAGGCAGCAGGATCTGTCATCAGAAACAACCAAATCAAGGGTGTGCCAGGATGGGAATGCCAGTGAACATCAGGGCTGCTGACCAGAGCTGGGCAGTGTGAGTGCCGGGGGCGCTGAAATCCATTCTGTGCTTTGCTCATTCTATTAGTTTCCTAGAGCTCCTATCACAAATGACCACAAACTTGGTGGCTTAAAACAATAGCCAGAAGTCCAAAATCAGTTTCACAGTGCTAAAGTTGGCAGGACTGGTTCCTGCGAGAGGTTCTCGGGGAGAATCCACTCCTTTGCCTTTTCCCGCTTCTGGAGGCCGCCTACATCTCTTGGCTCAGCTCCTTCCTCCCTTCTGGGCTAAGGCTGTGTGAGGTCTGGATTGCAGTCTGACATCTGCCCAGTCCTGTTTTCTTTCTTTACTGTTCGCAGGTGTCGATCTCTAGCAAGCATCTTGCACTGCAAATTTTTTTCTCAGTCTCTGCATCTAGATAACCCAACCTATGACATCCCTCTAGTAATCCTGGCAGCTCTCTCCTGCCAGCTGAGTTGTATCTCACCAATGAGCAGTGTGTCTGACTGACTTATGCCCAAACCTGCTTGTGTCTGTTGTACTTGTGACTCTAAAGGTCAATTTAAATGATATTTCATATAGTGACAGAGCAGGAGTGTGAAAAGAATGATTTGCACAAAAACTTAAATTGAATGCTCTGAGAAGACAATAAAGGTGAGTTGTTAAAAATTGTTATCAAATTAGTCACTGATGAGAAAAGATTAGGAGATTGGGGGGGGAAATCATTAAAGTCTTGAAAGGATATGAATTCATATTGCACTGTAGTGTGCTTACATTTCTCATTATCTGTAAAGAAAATCTAACTGGACCTTCTAGAGGCTGTGTTATGGGGGTGACTTATGCAATGAAGATGATTAAAATTCTTGTCGACGGATTTAAAGAAACTTTTCAGCCGTATACCCAAAGATGGATAATTATGTACATTTACAATGCCAATGTAAGGTAGGGTAAGGATCACTTTTCATGATTCTCCTCTTTAATATGTTTTTTCCAAAGCCAACCAACTTTTAGTCCCAACCAAGTTGAAGAACCCAGAGGTACCACCTGACTTCTGACAGCACCCCCAAACCCACCTCAATATTCTCAGACAGATTCTTCATGCATATGAGCTGTCCACTAGGGCTGGTCAGAGTGAGGCCACCAACAGTTCCGCTGACATTGAAGTGACTTTGGGCTGGGAAAGGGCTCTTTGGGAAACTCATCATCTGAAACCAAGAACGAGGCTTGTTGACCCAGGCCCCCGAAGGCTGGGTGGAGACGAGGTCCCTCTGTGAATGATGAGGTTTCCTAAGATGGGATGGACAAGCGACCCTCACCCTTAGGGGTAAATGGGGTGGGGGGCTGCCTTTAACTGCTGCTGGTTTTCCTGGTGTGTGTCTACTTTTCAGGGCTGTAGCCTCAGAAAGCTGGGCCTAGAGAACCTAACCAGACTTGCTACAGCTGAGCGGTTACTGATCTGTAAAGCAGTCTGAGCCTTTCTTCTGGCAAAGCTAACAAGTCTCTCAGAGAAAGAAGTTTGTTTGCTTTCACTGGGATTCAAGGAGCAAAGAGTTAGTTATGCACTAGTTTGAGAGAAAGAAGTTTGTTTGCTTTCACTGGGATTCAAGGAGCAAAGAGTTAGTTATGCACTAATTTGAAAGGAGCCTTGGGTTTGCCATTTCCTAGTTGTGGAATGAAGTCAGAAGAGCTTCATTTCCAATGACTAACTGAACCAAGGCTGCTGGAGAAATTCCAGAACACAGTGGAAACCGGTTGGATGTGGTAATCAGAAGGCCTAGGTTTGAATCCCTCCTCTCCCACTTTGCTCATGGCTTTGGGCAAGTCATTGAACCTCATCTGTAAAATGGGCATCATAATACTGTGTAACTGACAGGGCTGTGATCAAGCAACATAGCTGAGCAGATGTTGTGAAAGAGCTTTGCAAACTGTAAAGGGCTGTTCCCAAGCAGGTTATTGCTATTGTTACCCATATGTCCACAGGCTCCTGATAGTCCTCCACGGAGCCAAGGGAGGAGGCAGCAGGCAGGGTGAAGGTGGCAGAGCTGGCAGCACCAATGTGCACAGAGGAGCCTTGCCAACTCCGGAGCTGAATTCTGGCCATAAGGTGAGAACAGAGGTGCCGGGACAGAGGAGAAAGTCTGTGTCAGAAGATCTGCACGGAGGCCTGCGTTACCATCAGAATAGGCTGCTCTATTTCGATCCCTTTATATGGTTCAGCATGTTTGTGTCAGTAGCAGCAGCATAAAAGGCAGCTGATACCCCTATACTGGGTTGGAGGACAGGGCTTTAGCCAGCTTTGTTTACTGTTGTACCCCTAGTGCCTAGGACAGTGTCTGGAACATGCTGGTGGTCAATACATATTTTGTTGAATGAGTAAATGAGCTTTGATGTGGCCATTTCTCTAGGCTTCTCTTCCCTATCTCCTTAACTTCTGATGTCCTGGGCTCCTTGCCCCATCTTTAAAGCCTTTGGCCTTGTGTGTGATCAGGATGCTGCTTTGGGAAACTGCTCCGGGATCCATGAGGGCAACCCAACACAGGGACCATCTCTCAGCGAGAAGCCCTTCCCACTTCTAGGTCCCACCACTTCTCCCATCTCTAAGGAGGGTCTCCTGAGCTCTGCCTGGCACAGGGTCTTGGGATATGGGTGTGGAACGAGCCAGGTCAGAGGACGGGCTTTCTTGGGGACCCACAGTGCAACTGGTTACCTGTTTGTGTACACGGAGATGGAGGAGGTAGCCAGTATGGATGGAAGGCCCCTGGGCAGTCTCCCCAGCAGGAGGGCAGCCCGTATATGCTCCACAGCTCTGAGCAGCTGGGGCACTGTGGCCACCTGGAAAAGAAAGCAGGGGTGTGGAGAAAGGAGAGAGAGGAAAGAGAGGAGAGGGAGGGGAGAGAGAAGAGAGAGAGGAGAAAGAAAGGAGAGAGACCCACCTTCATATACCACCTCTGGTACTGTCACCAGGCTAGTATGGGACCTTTGGCAGGGACTGAAAGAGGGCCGAGAGTAAGGCGGAGACCATGATGGGATGCCATTAGTTGAGGGAACAAAGAGTAAGCACTTATAAAACTTCTAACACTTGACGTATGTGAACCCTTTTCATCTTCAGACAACTAAGTCTGTGAGGCAGGTGTGTGTAAGCAACAGGGGCAGGATTCGAACTCAGTCAGCCACCTTCCAGAACCTGCTCTCGGCCTACTACACCACACTGCCTTCCAGAACCTATGGTCTCTGGAACCTTTCTTTCAGCTCCATGCCTCCATTTCCTAGAAAAGCTGGTGTGAGCTGGGCATGCGGTAGGTGTGAGGTCTGCGTCTGGGCTGGGACACCTACCTGGCTGCCATTGGCCTCCAGAGACTCTTCTAGTCTGTCCCTCAGGGAAGCTTCTAGCACGCTGCCCACAGCCTGAAACAGGTCCCTGGTGGCTGCCTGGCGCCTCTGGTCCTCAGGACGGGCCTTGGCACTCACTGCCAACAGAGCCTCACTGGCATGCTGCAGAGCAGAGCTGGCCTCCCACTGGGCTCACCCGACGTAGAAGGAAAAACAGCATGAGCCTCTGCCTAGGACAGACCATCTCCCACACCATTCAAGGAATGAGGGCTAGAATGGAGGTGAGCGAGGTGCGGACACAAACTAGGGGAATCTAGACCAGGCCGGTCATGCCAGCTGTCTGTATCACCAGCTGGCGGGCCAGGTATTGCCTCCCTACAGTGTGCTAAGTTCCTTTAGTAGAGTAGCCTAGTCTATCTCAGAATCCTTCCCAGAGTGCCTTGCACAATGCCCAGAACATAGTAGGCATTCAGTAAACATTCACTGACCACATGGATGGATGGATGGATGGATGGATGGATGGATGGATGGATGGGAGTTATCCATCAAGAGGGGTGGGGGAGCTGTACCCCAGCTGATTTGTCACTGAGCACTGCACCAATCCCCTGACATGTCCAAGCCACTATGTAGGCAGGTGAGAGTGGGGTGTGGGGGTGTCAGAAATGAAAGAAAGGCTGGAGTTGGCAGCTGGATGTCAGGCTGGTGTGCACAGAAGTGGGAGACATGAGTGGTCAGCAACAGCATCTGGACACACACTTAACCACCCAATAGTTAAATTCAGCGGGGGAGGGTGGTGTGTAAGCACATGGGCCATCTCACCCAGAAGGAGGCACAGACAGCTATGGGAGGGCACCTTCCTTCCCTTGGCATCACCCATGTAAGACTTTTGGGTAAAGATCGCAGAAGTCTTGGCAGCCCTGTGACTGAGAAACCTTTGACCTGTGCTGGGGTGAATTGTCAGCCACCCACTGTGGAGGCACGTGTCCCATGGCTTGGCTCAGTGGGTGAGAACTACTCACCTGGGCCAAGGGCGTGAGCTCCTCACTGCGATGGGTCACCTCTCTCAGCACCTTGGCCAGCCCCTGCACCCTCTGCATGTCCCCCAGGGTGGTGGTGACTGCAGACAGCGACTCCAGCACACGCTCTCTGACCTTAGCACGGAGGGAGGAAGGTAAGGAGAGGAGATGTAATTCCAGTGGCTTGAAACTGTTTTAGAAAGGTTTGGGGTCAGAGCAAGTGACTGGGCCCATCTTGGGTTTTTCAAAGCCCATAGACCTCTGTTTGCCTCAAAGGATGTGTGCAGTGGGCAGAATAATGGCTCCCAAAGATGTCCACGTCCTAACCCCTGAGACCTGTGACTGTGTTACCTCACATGGGAAAAGGGGCTGGCAAAGTCACTTTGGAGATTTGATTAAGTAAAGGATTCTGAGAGGGAGCGGCCCAGATTAACCAAGTGAAGCCAATGTCATCACAGGGGTCCTTATAAGAGGGAGGGTGAGGGTCAGTGTCCGAGGAGGTGGGGATGGAGGCAGAAGTGGTGGAGAGGGAGAGGGGAGAGAGTAGAAAGAAGGGGGGAGTAGGGGAAGGATTTGAAGGTATTAAGCTTCTGACTTTGAAGATGGTGAGAGGAATATAGGCAACTTCTAGAAGCTGGAAAAGCAAGGAATAGACTGTTTCCTAGAGTTTCCAGACGGTTCGCAGCCTTGCCAATACCTTCACTTTAGCCCAGTGAGACTCCTTTCAAACTTCTGACCTCCAGAACTGTAAGATAATAAATCTGAGTTGTTTCAAGCCACTAAGTTTGTGGTAATTTGTTACAGCAGCCATAGGAAACTAATACAGGATGTCTCAGCTTTCTCCAAATCTTCAAATCAAATCTGTAAAATCTGGCATCATTTAAAAACAAGTCGTGTCTCAGGGTGGCATTTGTGACCAGAATGGCATGACATTCAGAAATCAGATTACTTTGTTGGCTCGGGGTAGGTGGCAGATCTTGTTGCAGGCTTGGGCCCTGTTTGCCTTTGGAGTGATTGGGGACAATTCCCCCTCCTCATCCCCTGACTCCCACCTTGAGCCACACCTTCTGGGGCTTCTGAGCAATGTGCTTTCTAAGCCACAAAGCCTGAATGAGGGGCTGGCCAGGGGCTGGCTTTGTCAGCAGCACAGAAAAACTAAGAATAATTTCAGCACTGCCCCACAGAACTTTCCACGTTGATGGAAACATCTTCCCCCCTGTGCTGTCCAATAAAATAGCCAGTCACCAAATGTGATGGTTAAGCCTTGAAATGTGGCGGGTACAACTGGAGAACTGGATTTTTAAACTTTATTTCATTTTAATTTAAATGTAAGTAGCCAGACGTGACTAGTGGCAAACATTTGGAATAGCACAGATACAAATGAAGAGTCTTTCACTCAGCCTGCTAGTCACAGCTTGCTCAGTCTAACCATCAAACAATTTTTCATGGCACCTACAGATTTTTGTTTGTCTGCCATTAGTTCAGGGTATATGCAGGCTGTGGCTTGGATGGAGGAAAGAATAGGCCAGTATATGAGGGGACTCTTGTCAGAATGTTCTGGAAGGGAAGCTCAGATAGTGTTTAATCTCACGTTTGCCTCTGCAGATCTTCCCACCATCCTTGTCACCATCTTGGAGGCTGTCTACATGGAGACGTCACTGGCCCCTGATCCTCTGGTCAATGGATTCACTCAGGAAAAGAGAGAGCTAGAAGCTATTGTCCTGCGGCCCTCCCGGCCAGGTCACTGTGGGTTGAGTGCCTCGTCCTTCAAAAGCCACTGCTCCTACCAGGGAGCCCCCTTCACACATGGCTGCCCTTTGGATTCTGGTCACCTCAGGCTGAGCCGCTGCAGTCCTGCATCATCTGTGTGCTCAGGGACCACAGGACATCCAGAGGGAAGTGTACCACAGGTAATGCTCAGAGTGAATGCAACCAAGAACCACGGGGGGTGGGAGGGCAGTGTATGTGTATGGGGGTTCTAATGTGAAGCAAAGGACTGAGTGAGAGGGCTTGGGGCGGGGGGGGCTGGAGGTGGATGGGGGGAGAGCCAACCTGGGTTTGAACTCTGTCTTCAGCACCTACTGGAAATGTGGACCTGGCCAAGCTACTAAAATTCTCTTACCCTGTCTCCTTTTCTATAACAAAGGGGATCTTACCTTTTACCTCATAGCGTTTTAATGGGGATTACACATCCTTAAAGTCCTAACTCAGGGCCTGACGGCACATAGTAGGTACTTAATAAATGTTAGTTACTTCTCTGTACTTAATTACTTTGACAACCACAACTTCTTTGTATTAAAAATACTTATGTGTCCTGCACCGTGCCAAGTACTTTCATGAAAACTTTTCAGGGGACCAAAGAAGTCTTCCTTCTCTTCTCCATGCCCAGCATGTATGTGTGATGCTGTGTGTGGTACAGACATGTAGCATGCCTGGGAGTGCATATTCATATGCATGTGCCATGCACTGGGAGTGAAGTAATCATATGTTCTGCAATAGTCATTTATAACATTAGGTTATAACACATGAAATGGCCATTTTGTGGATTAAAACTGGTTGAATGTGGGCAGTTTCATATGGTTTGACCTATAGTTACAGTGAATGTAATTCTTATTTAACTCTCACCATAACCTTATTAGGAAAGCAGTGCTATCCTCATTTTTCAGACTGGGAAACTGAGGCTTAGAGAGGTTCAGTCACCAGCCTGTGACATTATATATGGTAAGTGACAGAGCTGGGACAACAACATCTAAGTCCAACTCCAAACCATTAACCATATGACTGAAGCTAGGTCACTATTCTCCTCTGGCCTTGGTTTCACCGTCTTTAATAGGAAGGACTGGAGTGATACCCTAGGAGCCTGTGACTCCAGAGGCTGAGCAGAGACAGCCTTCATTCTATATCATTTACTGAAAGGAAGTGGGAGGTGATGTCAATAGCTGAGGAGACACCAAAGGCTTCTCCATGGATCTCTGAACCCTGCTCCACACCCCGAGTGGCTACATATAGACCCCAGGGGCCCCAGTAGAAGGCATAAAGGGGCCCATCTCAAGTACCTTCTGTCTGGCGTCCATTCTGTGGGGCTGCTTGGATCCCTGTCCCTGGCACTCCTGGTCCAGCATGGAGGACACGGACCTGGCTAGCTGGAAGAGCAGCTCTGGACCCTGCTCGCTTCGTAGAATGGCGGTAATGTTTTCCGACACTGCGGCCTGGAATGCCACATCCTCGACACGAGCACCTCCAAGTCCCACCTATTGGGAAACCAGAAACATGCTTTGTGCAAGGAAGACCTCAACTCGCTGGTTCATGTTCAAGAACAAGAGCCTGATGTCACAGATCCCGATGTGGGAAAGCAGAGCAGACCTGGAAGCCTTTGCACCGAGCACGGGGGTCTCAGGCACTTCTGAGGCTTGAGGGCAGCCCGGCTGCTTGCACCAGGCAGCTGACAGCCAACAAAAGCAAGCCTTGGGCAAGCCTTCACCATTCACTGCCCTCCTCATGACACTCTCAGTCCCTTCCCTCTCCACTGACTTCTGACCCTTGACATTTTCTTAGGATTTTATCCGGCCTCTGCCTTGTAGCCCTATTAGCTGATCTTGGCTTTCGTCTAGACTCTAAACACACTGGCCTAATTCACCCGTGCATCCTTCTGCTCCAACCAACTCACGTTCCCCACTCCAAGCCCCCAGGATCCTACCCTTATTCTGGCCACTAATCATAAAGACCTTCAAAGGTAGAAACCATGTCTGTTTTGTCCATGGCTCTATCCCGAGGGCTGGGCATGCTGTAGGTGCTCTGTAAATATTTGTTGAAGGGATGGATGAATCAGTGACTCATTTGGTCATGCCCTTGGCTCCTTCCCATGCAGCTACCCTCTTATTTTTATTTATTTATGTGTTTGTTTATTTTTTTCTTTTTACAAACCCTTGTGTCAAGGGCTGACTTTCAGTAGCCTGCCACCCTCTTAGTGAGGTTCTGACAGGTCAAGTTTTCTCAGTAAGGAAACAATGGCCACTACCCACCTTAACTGCTGCATGGGTGTGCCGTCTGTCCCCCGCGTGATTGGAAACAGAAACGACCACTGTCAGCACAAAATCGTTGTCTTCTTTCCCAAGTGGGAGATAAACTGACGGGAGGGCAGGTTCAGGGCCACAGTGTAGACAGGAACCTGGCAAATGGAAATCAAGCAATTAAGGGAGCATCTCCAGGCCCCTAGGAGATTATAAACCACCAAAGTCAAGCCTAATGACAAGGACACAAAAGCCACAGCTCGTGAGGGCATGGCAGGTACTCGGGAACTCCATACTTTCAGGGTGAAGACAGCCATTTATACTGAAAATGTTCTGGTTAGAACACTGCCCTCTCTGAGGCATCGCATGCTGCTATGACCTTGGATTAATTTTACTAAGATCCATGAAAATGTTCAGGAAAAAAAAAATCCCCCCCATTTACAAGTTTTAAAAAATATATTCAAGATTGTAAACCAAACTACACAAAGAAGAAGGAAGAAGAAGAGGAGGTGGGGAGGTCTTAACAGTGAGCTCAAAACACATGCTTCCCCTGTAAACCTTTGCAGAAATGTCTCCTTTTTCAGTTCACTGCTGTGGGGTCAATAAAATTGTTGACAGTTCTGTGAACCAAGCCCATCTCTGTCCTGGATAGCTCCAGACTTCCAAGGGGTTCGTGGCTACTCTGAGTGATTGCTAGGGTGGAGCCCTAGTAGTGGCCCCCCCCATGGTCATGCTTCTGTGTATACTCATCCATTTAACTTCCTCCACATCCCTCACGACAAGACAGAGGTCATTTTGGCTCCCACTGTTGTGGAGGAGACACTGATGGGACCTGCTCTCATCTCTCTGAAGTATGTGGCTAGGTCCGTGTGCCTAGAGGTGACGGGTTAAGAGTTAGGGGAGTCTTCATCTTGCAAACCTCTCTCACACGTGGGACATATTCTTCGAGTCTTCCCGAGAGAGTGACAGGCCCTATTCTGGGAAAGGAGGAACCCAGGAGCTGAGGGGAGAGCCTAGCCTTGGCCAGTACCTGATTCCAGACAGAAGCAGTACTCCAGGGTGCCCAGAGCAGCGGAGGTGTTGCAGAAGATGGCGAAGCTTGTTAGAACGGTGCCCTCCTCTGGGGCAATGGTGCAGGCTGGCACCTCGGGCAGAGGCAGAGAGCTGATGACATAGGTGTCCTCCCCGTAGGCGTGCCTGATCATTGCTGCAGAGTGAAGGCATGGGGTGCTTAGGGGCTGTGTGGGTCACACAAACTCCACCATGCTTTGGGATCACCTGGGGAACTTGTTGAACATGCAGATTCCCAGGCCTCTCTCTGGACCCCAAGCCTCAGACCTCTCTGGAGGTTCTGGGGTGGGCCTAGAAATCTGCAAATCTAACAATTACCCTGATGCAGAGATAGAGGACCAGATTCAGACAAACTTGAGCTTGAATCCCAGTTCTGCCACTTACTAGCAGTTGACCTTGGACTTAAGCTTTTTGAGAGTCAGCTCCTCATCTGTAAAGTGGAGCTAATAAGAATAGCTTCCTGACAGAGCTTTGGTGAGGAGGGAGTTTATTGGGCACAATGACTTGCTCAAGCTCACTGAGCTAGGTAGGGCCACAGCCAGGATCTGGAAACAGGCTGATCCCACCTGAAACGATGCTCTTTCTAGGCCCCCACAGTACCGAGAATAGCACCCTCAGTTGACCTGCACTGACATCCCACATCACCTGGTAAAATCACCTGGTTTTTCAAAAGAAGAGTATTTAGCGCCGGGTGGGTGGCTCAGTTGGTTGGAGCATTGTCGCATACATACACCAGAAGGTTGTGGGTTCAATCCCCCCATCACGACATGTATTGAAGGCAACCCATTATTATTGTTTCTCTCTCTCATTGATGTTTCTCTCTCTCTCTCTCCCTCCTCTCAAATCAATAAAAAACGTATCCTAGGGTGAAGATTAAAAAAAAAAAAAAAAAAAAAAAAAGGGTATGTACCTGGAAGAGCTGAGCATAAAGAGAATCTTAACCAATTAAAACTCATTCCTTGGCCTAGACTTAATTCAGAAGGGTTGGGGCAAACCCAGGAGTGTGCATGTTAAATTAGTACCCCAGGTTATCCCAGTGTGGGTGGTCTATGAGCCACTTTGAGAAACCCTAAGTCAAAGGAATCCATCAGAAAAATAATTCCCACCCTCATTATTTATCTTTTTGAGAATCTACATTTCCCTGTGCTCTGGGCTCGTTTTAAGTAAAAAGTGCTGAGTTATCCTGGCAGGACATTCAGGCTGGACGACCCCAGAATGGCCTGCTGGTACTGCTGGTATTGTCTCACCCACCCTGCATCATACAATCTGGAGGCAGGTGTTTTTAGTATGTCCAGCTTACCTGTGTGGAAACTGAGGCACAGAGAGGTTAAATCCCTTGCCTAAAGTCTCCCAGCTAGAAAGCGGCGGTGGTGGGACTCACACCAGAGCCTGTGTGTGGCCCCCACCCTACGCTGATGCCCCATATTTCAGGCTTCTGGGTTTGTCTTGGTGCCTTTTCTGAAACGGACTGAATCCATGACAAGAGACTGAAGGGAGGCCTCCCCACCTGTGACTCTGATTCGGATGGCCTGGCCCCAGGGCTGCAGCAGGGAGCTGTTCAGCAGCAGGGTGGACACGTTGCTCTGAAGGAGGGTTAAAGAATTTGGCCAAAATCCTCGGAGTCTGCAGGCTGCCGGCAGGGGCTGGGTCTGAAAGAGATCACAGCCCAGAGCCCATGAGGTTACAGTCAGGCCGCTGAACCTCAGCAGGGCACTTGTTTCTGACCCCTGGGAGGCCTTTCAGATTTGTCTATGAAGGATGAGCGGCAGGCACTGCTTGCTTCCCTGAGGCCAGCCCAGATATGCAATCTCCAGCCTGGTTAAGGCATTGTCCTGGGTCGGGTTCCCTAGAAGCAGAGCCTGAGGCGAGGATTCGTGTGCAGGTCATTTATTGAGGGAGGGGACTTAGGGAAAACCAGGGGGG